TTAACTAGAGGACGTGCCCCTGCTGCCAACTACACCATCAATAATCACGCATACACCATGGGTATTATCTTGCTGATGGTATCTATCCTCGTTGGGCAACGATTGTGAAAACAATATCTCAACCTCAAGGCGCAAAGAGACAACTATTTGCGAGGATGCAGGAGGCATGTCGGAAAGATGTCGAAAGGGCATTTGGAGTGCTCCAAGCACGATTTATATTGTCAGCGTGCCGGCTAGAGGTTGGAGTGATGAGGATCTGTATTACATCATGAAGACGTGTATTATTTTGCACAACATGATCATTGAAGACGAGCGTGATTTCCAGAAAATGAACGCAGTGCAGTACAACTTGAGACTGATACCAGTAATTTGGGCTGTCAAGTGTCACGCGATCCGAATGAGGAGTACGCTCAATTTATGTTGAATCGGCAAAGGATTAGATCTGTTGAAGCCCATAATGTAATTCGTAATGATCTAATTGAACACTTGTGGTCCGAGCTGGAGAGTTAGATTAAGTTTGCATTTTATCTTTTTAATGACAGTTAATGTCATTTAATGTCAGTTAATGTCTTTATTCGAATAAAATGTTCTTCATTTAATGTCTTTTTATTTTACAATGTCTTTTCATAAAAATGTCTTTTTTTACATTGTGAAGTACAAAATACTAAAAAAATAAATAAAAAAAACAACAAGGAATTTCATTAGAAAATAAAAAATTACATTACAAATAAAGACTGACAATTACATCAAAATATCAAATAAAGACTGCAAATTCAAAAATACATTATCCGTAATTATTCATCAGGAGGTAGGGGGAAATAAAATTTGGGCTGCTCACATTTGAGGACCACTTGGCGAAAATCTCATTTTTTCGCATTGTGTAATACGCTTTCATCTGAGGGTCCAAATGAGAAATGTCCGTAGTCATTATTTGGTGTTCTTCCTTTCTCATCTCATGTTCTTGTCTTCTGATCTCGAAGTCATGTTTTTTCATCTCAAGTTCTTTCATCTCCTGCAGTGCTGAATCCTTTTTTCTTCTCTTCATCTTTTTCTTTTCCTTCTCAGCAAGGTATTGGTTAAATGTGTCCAGTTGTGTGCTCATTTTTTGAACTTCAGCTTGAGCGACTTGATTTCCGAAATAATTCTTTTGCAGATTTCCTACCCATCGGCCTTTTACCCCTGCAGAGACACTGCTTCACCGACAGTTGGATTGTTACCAACACTGGACTGGTGTCATCTTCAAGAGAAATGCAGTTTTCCATAGGGAATCAGGGGCTGATTAGGGGTAAACACTGTATGCATCCTTGACTTTACCGTATTCGTGGGAGCTACATCTTGCCACCTGATATTGTCTTGCAATATTGGCCAACAATGTTCAAAAAGCGAAATGTTTGTTTTCATCTTGATGGTATAACAGTTTTGCTTGAAGCATCTGTTTAAAAAAAATTGAAGATAAAAATTCAATGTAATTGAAAATCAAAACATTATTTAAATAAAATAAATAATAATTGAATAATAAATAATAAACATTATTTAATATTCCAAAAAATTAAATTGTTTTCATATTGAAACATTATTTAATTACGTAATTTTTATACGATACCAGAATAAGAAACTAAACATAATATTGAAAATAAAAACTTACTATATCAACTATGAGAATTCCACTTGGGTGAAGATTTTCGACTTGTGTTAAACATCCCCGAAATTTGTTAGAACATTTCATGATTATACCCCATCGAGATTGAATAGACACTTGTGTTCTGGACTGATCATTCTGAAGCAGGCAAAAATTTTCGTAAATTCTTCCCAAAAGTGGCATACGATTGCGCGAATTCCAACAATTGGGTCTTCCGAAATGTGACACCAAGATTTACAAATCGCCATATCTTCTTCAACGGTGAATGATTTCCTCTCTTTGTTTTTGATGACCTTCCATAATGATTGGATGAAAAAACTAAAAAGAATATATTTAAGAGGTTTGTTGTGAAATTAAATCAAAAAGAGAGAGAAAAGAAAAATTAAATATAATATTTGTGTGAATAAAAGTGAAAGAAATGTTTCAATTATAGAAATGAAATTTATTACCTTTTGGCAATAGCCGTTTAAAGAGCCGTTGTAAAAAATAATTTCATTTTTTTTTTTTTGTTTGACAAAACAGAGCCCAACGGCTCTTTTATTTTGGTTTGAACAAACCAAACAGAGCCCAACGGCTCTTTATTTGCCATACATCTATCTCTCAATCTCTTCTCACTCTCATCTCCCTCTCATCATCTCCTCCACAGCTCTTCATCTCCCTCTCATTCTCACAGTGTCTTCTTCTCCATGGCGAAATTAACAGAGCACAAACCAAATAGAGCACAGGATCGGAACCCGATCTCCCCTTCTCCTCCAAGATCAAAACCCCTCCTCCAAGATCGAAACCCCTTCTCCTCCATGATCGGAACCCGATCTCCCTCTTTCCTCCAAGATCGGAACCCCCTCTCTCTGTTTTGACTCTGTCTCCCTCCATCTGGTGTTTTCCGATTAAATATCTCCCCATGTTTATTTGTACAATGACTTTCTTTTTCAAGTGCAAGTGTTACAATTTATATGGTGAGTACTGCAAGATTTTAAAGAGTGTAGGTAGAAATTGCCTCAAATCTTAGATCATCTCTGATCATTTATTAAATTTTTTATCTAAAAATTACTTTATCATCTCAAATTTCATTTTTCATCAATTTTGATGAAAAAAAGCCCAACTTTAATCTTTTATCTTTAAATAATTTCATGAAAATTAAGTGAAAAAGCCTTGTTGGAAATTTGATGAAAATTTTGGTTTATCCTCAATTTGATAAAAAATTTATTTCCTCCTTTATTTGATATAAGTTTGATGAAATGATTGAATCTCGTTTTTACTAAAATTTTTATCAAATTTAAATTCAATGAAAAATTTTGTAGAAAATTGAAGATATTCTCCGGAATCTCAAGATAAATAGATGCAACAAAAGGGACACGTAATTTGAGGTGATTTCAAATACACCCTTTAATTTTTCTCTACCATGGTCTCCCTCACATGCATTTGGAATTTATTTTAACAATCCATATTATTTCAATTTATTGATAAGTCAATTTATTGATAAGTCAAAGTTTTAAAATTTTATTTAATACGTTATTGATGTTAGTTCTAACAGATATTTTAATTAAAGAAGAATAATTTTATATATACCAATTAGTGTACTAACTAGTGTACTAATTGATCATATGACATAATTTAAGAGATTTTTAGTACTTGTAATGTGATTAATAAGTGGGGTCAATAATAAAGTCATAACTAGTGTTGGTACACTAGTTAATACATTAATTAGTACATGTAATATCTCCAATTAAAGAATATTGCTTAATGGGTTAATTGACATAACTTATGGAGTTACTTATAGTTCTTTTATATTAAAATTTTATATAAAGTGCTTAGTAGTTTTTAATACAATTAATGTGACAAATAACTTAAATAAACCATAAAAAATCAGAAAATATGTTTTAAACTTTTCCAGACAATCATTTTTTAATTGCTAAAAACAACTCAATGTAGATATAAATTTTGATAATGATATTAATTTATTTTAAAAAATTATACATTTTCATAAAAGGATATTGCTAACAAGTACTCTTAGAATACAATTAAAAAACAAAATAGATAAATATAATACACTTTTCACTAATTTTAATACACTTTTGCTAAAATCAATATATTTTTTAACATTTTTACAAATTTTTAAAAAAACTTTTCACACACTGTTCAATATTACTAAACAATATCCACAGTCATTTTGGCAAGTGAGTTGGGACTAAAAAAGCACAAAAAGATAAAATAAGTTAAATAAATCAATACGATAAAATGTTATATCTAAAGTATAATCATTTGACTTTTTCTTTGACAAAAAAATCAAAAAATAAAAAAAGCTAAAAAAATTCTTCCAAACGGTGTTAATTTAGCAAAAAGTCAGGCCAAGAAAGTTTTTCCCAACCAAACCCTTACTATAATAAAAAAATCTATAATACTTTAAAATTATCTTAACAAGTAAGTGGGCTAAATGCAAATAACAACAATCAGATCCAATATAAATTTTAGTAAAAATTAAATTAATACTAAAAAAATATTTGAGACATTTAATTTATTACTTTTAAAAATTATTTTTAATGGTATCAATATCAAATTTTAATTTATTATCATGCAGAGCTTAATGTTAATATCATAAAAAAATGTTAGAGATATCAAAAATTTTATTAAATTTTTTATCAAATGTCTTACATATTAATGTTAATATCATAAAAAATATTAGAGACATCAAAAATTTATTAAATTTTCTATAAAATGCTTTACATGAGTGTGATACTCACATCATATGGATTCTATGTGAGTCCCACATTCATATTTAATAAAAAATTTGATAAAATTTTTAATATTATCCTAATATCACAGGTGATGAACAAAAATTAGTGAAGTATCATCCATGTTAATAATAATTCTAGGGAAAGCCCTAAGCAAATCTGCAATTCCCAACAACATAATATACTCAGATGTGACAGTGTTTCTTTTATGTAATAAATAATTTCCTCTCTTACCTTATGTCAACCAAATACCCAAAATACCCCTAACTTAACTTTGGAATCTGGATCTAAACACTTGTCTCTGAAGGGTATTTATGTCTTTTCAAACTTGGTCAATCTGTTCAAAGCCACTGCTGACCGGCCCAAAGACATAACGTGAAAAACAAAAGTTAGAGAGAGAGGCAGAGAGAGAGAGAGAGTAACAAACTACACTATCGGCAACAAGCATAGAACATAGCAGCATATGAATTGAGTTTAGCGGACATGAACAAAAGCTTGGCAGCTCTCTGTCTCTCAATCCTCATGTAAGAGAAGGAGACACACTCTCTCTCTACAAGGCATGCTTTCTCTCTCTACAAGACTCTTTTTGTGTTTTATTATGCTTTATTGCGATTAGTCTTGTTTTGTTCATTTCTTTATTTTTACCCATCTGCCTTTTTGTAGAAATATAGGTACTCTTTTGTTCGCATCTAATTGTTCTTTTAGATGGGTTGTCTTTGATTTCTCTCTCTCATAGAGTGTTTGTGTGTAAAATGGGCTCTTTCAGATGAAGCCTTTGAGATCAAGAGATTGGAGGATATGATTGGTTCTACTTACAGTTTGTTGGGTTTTTCTTTTTGAGTTTTCTTCTCTGAGATCTAGTGGGGTATGCCCATTTTCACAAGCATTTCTGCTTTTTGTTTGGCTTGGAATGCAAGTGTGTATAAAGATGTTGATTTTTAATGATTTTATTTCTCTATTACTCTAACACCCATTTTTTCATTTTTGGGTTTCTATAGGTACCTTGAGGTTGCTTGTTAGTTTTAGGGTTTCAGTTTCATTGTACTAACCAACAGCAGTTTTTTGAGGTTCTTTTGATCTCAAGCTTTGAACCATTATTAGGATCCATGAATTTGCTATTCTCCAGAGTTAAAGACCTTTTGAAATTTGGATTGTTGCTTCAAGGGTTGAAGATTAAGGAAATTTGAGGTTTGAGGTTAATTGATTGGTTTGCTTGAATACATTTTCTTTCTCTAATTTGAGCAAATGGGTAAGTAAGGCTTGGGTTGTGTTCTTTTAATTGGATGCTATTCTCTGAGATTTTGTTTTATGTATACATTTTTTCACTGTGCTTTCATCAAACAGATTGTCTGCTGCTCTAAGTTTATATATGACTTTTGTATTTTCATGCAACATTCAATGATCATCGACTTTTTTACTTCCATCTTTATGGGATTTATGCTTAGGAGTGCTTTTGTTGTCAATCATTTCAAAATGCCTCGAAAAAAATTGAACCTAAAAGCTTTGATTTTGGATGACACCAAACAATGTGCTTTAACAAGTATATTGGTAGAGGATCTTTATTTAGGAGATCATATTCAATTCTAATTCTCAGTTTAATTTTGATTTTGAGTTTTGTTTTAATGTTGCTTGTGTTTGCCTTTTTTTTTTTGTATTTTCTGTAGATTGTAGATCTGTTGATGGGACAAGACATGGAGTTGGAATTTGACAAATATTGCAAAGTGGGTGGGAGCCCAAAAACTGTTCTTCCATCACCTCGGCGTTCTTCAAGAATTGAAAAGAGAATTGTCAAAGGAAAACTTACGTGTACCACAAACGATCTATTCAGCTTAGAGGAGGGCTTCAAAGAGATTAACTTTCGCCGCTATCGCAGTTCATCTTGTAAATTCAATCCATCTAGGTCTCCAGGGCTGGAAGGGAACGAAGTGCTAAGGCGGGGTTCTGTATATCAGAACTCCAAAGAAGTTAGGAAGATGAGGAAGATTGTAGCTATGGAGGGTAGGAGAAAAATTGAATCATCGGGAAGCCATGCTTTCTCCATGGGAATTGTTGACTCTTTGTGTAGCTCTGAGAAGAATAGCTCTCTCATGGAACGGAAAAGATCCTCAGTGGTGTCAATAAATTCAGACTCAAGTACAACTTCTATTCCCATGCCCCTCATTGAAGAATTCTTGGATCTCTCTCACCATGGTACAGATAATGTTGTATCATCTGATGGGTTTTTAGAAATGCCTTCGAATTTAAATGGCAAAGAAGACCACTCTGCTGAAAATATGGAGAGACAAAAGATGTGTGATCCGAAGTTCAGATGTGATCCTGATGTTGGTCCTATTAATGATGGTATTGACTTTCGGGATAGAGACACTGCTCTTGCTTTGCATAAGTCGTTATCTGCTAAACTGGCACTGCCCCTTTCACCTTCTCAATCAGAAAGTGATGGCTCTAAACCAAGCAGTCCAAAGACACGGTTCAGCCCTATCAAAAAGATGTTTGATCCATTCACAAAGTCGAAGTCTCAACGGAGTCCTTTGGGTTCTTCTGCAAGTGAGCCTGGCGGGCTTCCACCAGCCCGGCTTGCAACCGTTGGGAGGAACAACAACACATTGCGAAAATCTCTACTGAACGAGTTTTCAAACACGATGCAGAGTCCCGAATTTGGTTCTCAGTTTGGGAAAAAAGATCACTGTAATTCAGCAGTTTCATGTTCACCAGCTCACTTGCACGGCTGCCTCAAGTTGGAAAATAAACATGGGGTGCCATTTTTTGAGTTCTCATTGAAGTACCCAGAAGATGTTTTCATGGCCCGGACTTGGAAAGCAGACAATGCTTTGAATTGGGTATACACTTTTCATAATAGAAGGAAGAGTAATAATGGTTGGGGATTGAAAGACAGCAACAAAGAGTCCTCTATGGTGGGACAAATGCAAGTTTCATGTTATTTATGTACAGAGCTCAAAGATGCTGGGTCTTTTGAAAACTCTATGGTGACGGAGTTCGTGTTATACGATGTTGCTCATGGAAGACGAAGTGTTGCTGCTCGGGGAAACCCTAACCAGTCCTCTGATGTGGTTAAACCTCCCAAGGTTTCAAGTCAAAGCTCGGTTGGTGGAACTAGCAAGTTGGACAATGTGTCTGATCAATCGAAGCTCAAACTTCAATTAAAACACTCCACTGACAATGGGCATTTCGATAAATTGACTCCACACCCTTGGGCACTGGAAGATTTGCATCCAAGCCTTGAAATAGCAGCCGTTGTCATACAAGTCCCATTTGCAAAGAGGGAAAGCTTGAAACACAAGGGAGGAGATGAGAAGAGTGATCAACCGCATCCAAACTTGCTTGATCTCTCAGCGATGGAGGAGAGAAAGAAAGGTATTGGGGATGGCTCAAGCACCACAAAGGTAAATGTGGTCACCCCGTCTGGAAACCATAGTTTGCCTAGTAGTGAGAGTCGTGGTCCTTCGCCATTACTTGATCGATGGAGGTTGGGTGGAGGTTGCGACTGTGGTGGTTGGGACATGGCATGCCCTCTTACTGTTTTTGGCAGTCCCAATATTCAGAGTGGTGAAGATTATCTGCTTGTGGAGAATCAGCGGCCTTTGGAACTTTTTGTTCAGGTAAGCTTCTCGTCTTATGCCAGGTAGCATGTCTTGGATAATAAAAAATTTAATATTGAGGATTGACGTTGATTGATTTAAACAACAACAAAAAAACAAAAAAAAAAAGAGGGCTAGGGCTACAAGCAAGCCAAGTAGTAAGTTGTTTAAACATGGCTTGAAAACTTAACGAGTTTCAAAATGTATCCAAGCTTTTGGCTTGTTTACATAACAAGCTAATCTCAAATGAGCTTTTGATGACTCAAGCTCAAGTAGCTTGGTTGTTTATGATGCATATAGGATTATTGAGCCGAGTTAGGTTGTTCAAGCAGCTTGAAAACTTAACGAGTTTTAAAGTATGTTCGAGCTTGGTTTGATTACATATCAAACTGATCCCGAACAAGCTGAACACAAGTCAAGCTCAAGTAGCTTTTTTAGTTTTGCAGCCCTAATGAGGGGAATGGCACAATTCCATGGGGGAAAAAGATGAGTAATCTCTTAGGATGATGGCACAAGAAATTGTAACGTCAGATCTCTTTGTTTGCCCACTACACAACCTGGATATACAAATCCTCAAGGCACTTACAGTCTTCAGTTATCAGAATGTTGATTTGTTTTTGGTAAAAGCCGATATGTTCAATACATGTTTTTTTTATTCTGTAGGATACAATGAAAGGGTTTTAGGAAACCATATGAAACTAATTCTATTCCTCGTTGATTCACAAGTTTGAGATCGACCCATTTTGTTTATTAAATTAATTTATGTGTTCTTCCTGAGCTCATCTAAGTTAATATCATTAACAATTCAATGCAATGATTCCATTGTCATCTCCCATTCCCTGGCGAGTTGAATGACTCTTGTTGGGTAATGATTCCATTTTAGACGACAAAAATGGTGTTATTTAATTCCATTTTGAACATAATTTGTTCATGTCATGTTTAGATGGTTCTCTTAATGCCAATTAATATATTTGTCACCTTTGAACATAAAATGTGCTTGTTTGTACATTTTGGTCTGTCTCTCACAGGCTCTTACTTCATTCTACTTGAATATAGGGAGCAAAGGAAAATACACCGGCGTTGACCATGACAGTTATAGAGGAGGGACGGTATTCAGTTGACTTCCATGCACAGTTATCCACATTGCAAGCGTTCTCTATTTGTGTTGCTATCTTGCATTCTACAGAAGCCTCAATTGCTGTTGGGCATGAGAGAGACAAGCAATTGTTGCAATGCAATTCGTTGAGAGTGTTCATCGAGGAGGAAGTCAAAGATTTAATTGAAGCCGTCACAGGGGAGGAAAAGAGAAAAGTTGGCAAGATGGAAGAAATCCCACCATCTTTTAAACTCAACCCACCTTTTTCTCCAATTGCTCGGGTATAGACTTGGCTTTGCTTTTAGAAGCAGATATGAGTTCTCCCCAGAATCCCGGATCAGATTTAGAGTGCCAATCCATTGGCGGTTCGTCTTTAGCAATGGTTAACCAGCGCTTGCCTTGGAGCAAGGTCAATACATCGAAGAGACCATTATCTTTTTGTGAGATTACTCAACTTGCTCTTAATTTATAGAAAAAAATTTTGAACACATAATGTTGGACAATTTTCACTGTATTTAAATAGATTAAATTCTATTGTGTACAAAATAACAACTAGAATTTAAAGAAATAAAGAAAATGAGAGAAATTGTTTGATTACAAAAATCAAAATTGAAATAAAAATAAATAAATAAAACAGATTTTATTTTGTTACAAAAACAAAATTAAAATCTGATTTAAATAAATAAAACAGAATAATAAATTAAACAACTTACTTGAGCGCGCCGCCGCCGTCTGTCCGGTCGGGCGGACGGGCTGGGCTTGGGCGCGGGTGCGTGGTGTGTGGTTGGGTTGGGCTTGTCCGGCCCAATATTAATCTTTTTGGGTCAAAAATATTTGAATTTAATTTTATTTTTGGTAAAATAAAATTCAGAATTCAAATTAAATTGGTTTGGTTTTACTGTACATCCAAACAGGGCCCTTCCTGTTTTCAAATTAAACCAGAAATAAACTGGTCTGGTTTTACTGTATATCCAAACAAAGCTTTTCCCGTTTTTTATCTGTTTAAATTATGAACTCAACAGATTTAAATCTGTTTGAATTTAAAACCAACAGGTTTCATACCTGTTCAATTCAAAACCTGCAGCGACCTTTACATCTATAAATAGGACAACCCTCATTTGGATTTTTAGAACTCTAATTTTCATCCTTCATAATTCTGCAAACATCCTCTTCATTTTGCTGCATTATTTTCTTGTCAGAGAGAGTATAAACACTTAGTGTGTTCGTTAGGCAAACAATTTGTAGTGCTTCTATTATTTGTAGTAAATCATTTTATCTTGGGAGATAGACGTCCAAATTCTGAAAACACCGTGGAGAGGACGAATCTGTCTTAAGGACACAATGTCAAACACTGGACTTGATCAGATAATTATTTAAAGAAATTAACCAAGTAAGTTGTTTAATTTATTATTTTGTTTTATTTATTTAAATCAGATTTTAATTTTGTTTTTGTAACAAAATAAAATCTGTTTTTATTTATTTATTTTTATTTCAAGTTCGATTTTTGTAATCAAACAATTTCTCTCATTTTCTTTATTTCTTTATATTCTAGTTGTTGTTTTGTACACAATAGAATTTAATCTATTTAAATACAGTGAAGATTGTCCAACAATCTTAAGACAGACTATTTTTGGTATCTTCATTGTATTTAATTTTCTGTGTTTTCAAAGTAATATTCTGGTTGGAAAATATAAATAGTATTTATAAACTATTTGACGGATAGTAGTAATATACTGTCTATTTTCTTTAACAACTAGTAGTAATATACTGGTGTTATTAACAATTGCAGAATATTATTTGGTGTTACAGAAAATTATTTTGGTATTTTATTTTTTCTAGTTTTAGTAACAAGGAAAATAAAATTATTTTTTGGTTTTAGTAACTATAATTTATTTTCTGGTTTTGGTAACTAGAAAATTATTTTGTGTTTTTTTTATTTTTGTAATAAGATATTTTTGTGGTATTTTATTTTCTAGTTTAAGTAACAAAGAAAATAAAATTATATTATTTTTTAGTTTTAGTAACAAGAAAAATAAAATTATTTTGTGTTATAATTTATTTTCTGGTTTTAGTAATTAGAAAATTAATTTGTGGTTTATTTTCTGATTTTTGTAATCAGATATTATTTCGGTATTTTATTTTACTAGCTTAAGTAACAAGGAAAATAAAATTATTTTATGTTATAATTTATTTTCTGGTTTTAGTAACTAGAAAATTAATTTTGTTAATATATCATAGTTCTTTTGACTTTATCATATTTCATCGTGAGTATACATGGAAGCATTTGATTCTGTAGTTATATATTAGTTTTACAAACTAATTTCAGTTTTATTACGAAGAAACCTTTGTGGCAAGATTATTTTCTTTTTTGGTTTTCTGAATCATTCTTTATTTTTTTTGTGTGGATCCGTAGTCGTGAATAGTTTTTGCACATGAGTCGGAAAATATATATATTCACAAGAACATTTAAATGCATATTTAGTTAGTTTATTTATGTACAAATCAAACCGATTAAATGAAGGTATGTTTTGTCATTTTTAGAGTTTAAAATTCAAAACGCGTTGAATTTTATTTATGGGTTGAGAATCTTTTTATCTCATGGAATCATGCATGATTAATTTATTTTGTTAATTCATTATTTTTAGTTGATGCGTTTGATATGCATGTATGATATCAACTCAAGTTATTTCTTGATAATAATTTCATGTGATTTGGAATGATAAATTGATATGTTGACCTTGTACATAAATAGATTAATTTGAGTTTTTCCAATCAATTTTTTATGGGTGTTTAAACACTAGAGAAATTTAAACATGAAGATGTATGTAGTTATATCGTTCCATTTAATTGGGAAGTAAATTTTAAGAAATCTTTTATGTTGATTATTGGTTTATTTTGAATTATGTGACATGAGATGTCATTAATAATTATTTTACTTGCGTAGTAGAATTTGTTAAACCATAAACCATTTTATTAATATGGGGGTGCATCTCTTGCATTAGTTGAGATAATTTAATTTTTTTCTGTCACAAATATTTTTATGACAGTGACACTTATTCGTAAATGAGTTACAAGAATGTATACATTCAATTGGGTTTTTTGAATTGTTTGATTCTTAGGCAAAATTTTTATGAGGATATGATTTTTTCAAAATTTTAATTCTGATTTGTGTAGTCATAATTATTTTGGATTTTTCATTTGAAATTTATGAATCATGATTTGAAATTTATGAATCAAGCACATCATAGACAACAAGTGATGGATGTTATATTTTGATTTATATTAGAAGTGATAGGGGTGGTGAATAAGATGTACCATTAAATGAATTTTGTGTACAACATGACATTATTCACCAAACTTCAGCACCCTATCCTCCTCAGCAAATTGGAATTGCTGAAAGAAAGAATAGAACCTTAAAAGAAATGTTGAATGCCATGTTATTAAGTTCAGGCTTATTACAGAAATTGTGGGGGGAAGCAATTTTGTCTGCTAATTATGTTCTTAACAGAATACCTCACCAGAAAACCAACAGCACTCCTTATGAATTATGGAAAAGACGACCGCCTTCCTACAAATACTTAAAAGTGTGAGGGTGTTTAGCAATAGTTGAAGTTCCTGTTCCTAAAAAGACTAAGATTAGACCAAAAACAGTAGATTGTGTGTTTATTGGTTATGCTCAGAATAGTAGTACATCTCGGTTTCTTACTTATAAATCAGAAATACTTGATATAACACAGGTTTTGAACATGAATTGGTGTTTAAAAAATGGCACACGAGTAAGAGCTTTGTGTTGGTGGATAATTGGGTGACTCGGTTCGTGTGGAGGAGGGAGTTGAGGAATGGAGATGAAATCGGACTTTTTTGGGATGCTAGCAATTCAAGGTTCAGTTTTCGTGTTCTTGCTCAGAGGGTGTTAGGTTTTTAAATTAAGGTTTTGGCTCAAAAGGGTGTCAAGTTTGTCAAGAAAAAGTTGGTGTTAATGCAAGAATGTGAATATCATAGGAAATATGATCTAAAGACAGAGTTCTAATTTTCTGTTTTTGTTTTTATTTTTATTTCTTTGTTTTTTTATTTTTTATTTTTTTTAAGGAGTGAAAGAAAGTATGCACAGGGCATGAACTTAAGTATATTAGTTTTTGTTTTGTGTAGTGGGATGGATTTATTTTCGATCTTTAATTTGTACTGAATTTTTCTTTTCAATATAGTTTTATTCTATTCAAAAAATATACTATTGTCTTTCGAATAAAATAAAACTATATTGAATAGAATAAAACTATATTTTTTTGAATATAATAAAACTATATTGAAAAGAAAAATTCAGTACAAATTAAAGATCGAAAACAAATCCATCCTACTACACAAAACAAAAACTAATATGCTTAAGTTCATGCCCTGTGCATACTTTCTTTCACTCCAAAAATAAATAAATAAATAAAAAAACAAAGAAATAAAAATAAAAACAAAAACAGAAAACTAGAACTCTGTCTTTAGATCATACTTCCTATGATATTCACATTCTTGCATTAACACCAACTTTTTCTTGACAAACTTGACACCCTTTTGAGCCAAAACCTTAATTCAAAAACCTAACACCCTCCGAGCAAGAACACGAAAACCGAACCTTGATTTGCTAGGATCCCAAAAAAGTCCGATTTCATCTCCATCCCTCAACTCCCTCCTCACGAATCGAGTCACCCAATTATCCACCAACACAAAGCTCTTACTCGTGTGCTACTTGACAAACTTGACACCCTTTTGAGCCAAAACCTTAATTCAAAAACCTAACACCCTCCGAGCAAGAACACGAAAACCGAACCTTGAATTGCTAGCATCCCAAAAAAGTCCGATTTCATCTCCATCCCTCAACTCCCTCCTCCTCACGAATCGAGTCACCCAATTATTCACCAACACAAAGCTCTTACTCGTGTGCTATTTTTTAAACACCAATTCATGTTCAGAACCTGTGTCGTAATCCCAAACCACCACCCTCTCACCGCGCATGTTGTTAACATGCTCCACCCTCTCTCCACCCCACACCGCCATTATATGCTTGTCCATTGCCCCCGCAGGCAACAAGAGCCGACAAAGATGTTCATTCACATCGCTTGATGTTAGGGTTTTCTTGATCTTCCATGGATCCTTAAAGAGCTTGAGCTTCGTTGACACCCCCAAATCCATCTCTTCTCTGCACTTCTCGTGAGTGTAGAACCGGAAGCTTCTGATTCTATCTTCAATCCTCTTTCTTTCGAAAACCAGAGAATGAGTGCTTGAAGGAGATAGGTTTGTTTCCATTAATGATTTTGTAGAAGAGAGTGAAGGTTTTAGAAAGATGAATAGGTTTATGGGGGTTGCTATGTTTATATACATGTAAAAATAATGCTAAATATGCAGAATCATATTCATAATTGGAAAGTGAGATCAAAACGATTTTCTAAACCAAATCCTTGTAAGATTGGGACATATATAGTCTAATAACAATCCATTCGAGATACGGGGGGATACGGGGTATTGCTGCGCCCAACTCACAGTAGTTACTGAATATAAAGTCTAATAACAATAAAAATAGCACAAAAATAACATCAACAATAAGATAAATTACCACAATCATGTTCAAAATCTGTACATAGAAAAGATTGGTCCTTGGAAATCACATAGAACAATAGACCAATACAAATATGTAAGTGTAGGTTTGCTTATTCCCAGAAAAAAAATAATAATAATAACAAAACGTAAAAGGAAACAAAAATTGATTCATTTTTATTCAATATGCATGCATGTGCATATTGAGAAATTAATAACTAATTTTTGTGAAATCTGAACAATAATAACTAATTTTTATATTTCTGTTTCTCATTTATGAACTCAAGCAAAATCTTTGGACACAATCTCACAGAGCATCAATCCCTAACTAGCAAAACTAATTTTTGGCAACTTCATTAATAGAATCTATTATGTATATATATATATATATATGGTGATTTATTTTCATATTAAATAGCGATTCTGTTTTGAATTAGGGATTTTAATATTATGATCTTTTCTCATTCTACTAAATCCCACAATCCTTGGAGGAAGATGCATATTCATTGTAGAATTCATATGCATCTTCCTCTGAATCAAATTCCATTCCAACACATGGCATGGAATTGTTGGCCAACTTCTCAAGTGCACCATCTTCCATTTCGGCATTACTGAATATAAAGTCTAATAACAATAAAAATAGCACAAAAATAACATCAACAATAAGATAAATTACCACAATCATGTTCAAAATCTGGACATAGAAAAGATTGGTCCTTAAAAATCAAATAGAACAATAGACCAATACAAATATGTAAGTGTAGGTTTGCTTATTCCCAGGAAAAAATAATAATAATAAAAAGTAAAAGGAAATAAAAATTGATTCCTTTTTATTCAATATGCATGCATGTGCATATTGAGAAATTAATAACTATTTTTTGTGAAATCTGAACAATAATAACTAATTTTTATATTTTTGTTTCTCATTCATGAACTCAAGCAAAATCTTTGGACACAATCTAACAGAGCATCAATCCCTAATTAGCAAAACTAAATTTTGGCAACTTCATTAATAGCAATTCACACTACAACTTCATTTCTAATAATAACATAGCATCAATTTCATAACAAAGCATCAATTTGAATATAAAAAGTGTTGTTCAAATTTTGAAATTAAATAAATAGATTTATGAAGAAATCAAATTATATATATACTAAGAACACATACTAATAATTACAACTGAATTTCAACAGAAATACACAAAACAATAAAAGGGTAAAGAGACGAAACCGAAGCCTGCACGGAAGCAGTTTCCTTAAAACAGATTTCGCCGCCTCACTGGTCGAGTGCTTGAGGAATCCCGGCGTCTGTCTCCCAGGATACGATGGTCAAAACCAGCTACGGCAGAAGCACTCTCTGTCTAGCTTAGCGAACAAAACAGTGGCAGTACTCTCTCACTGTAGAAACTTTCAGGCAAATTGACTTGTGAAATGGAAGTAAAAATTTCTGTGTTTGAGACTTGACAGGAGGGTCTCAATTTATATATGTATAGGGGAGAGAGGAAGAGCCTCCACCCTTTATGGCTGTTCATAATGCACCATTAACCTCTGCAATAAAGGCGGGAGTTACAAACCCCATTAATGCTGGAGTTACAAACCCTATTAATGCAGGAGTTACAAACCCCATTAATGCAGGAGTTACAAACTTCATTACCTTTTTTTTCCATGAAGCTAACTTCATGAGGTAATTTCTCATTCAAATTTCCATAGTTTTTTGCCATTCTATCTGTGGTGTAAAGATCTCAATGCAAAATATCTAGACTCACTTGGACCCAACACAATAGATGGTTGGGACCCACTTTAATATTTAATTAAAGTCACCAAAAAACCGTTTTTTCCAACAATCCCCCACATGAATAAAAATTGACCGAATGACTCAACAAACGAACACCGTTCAACAATAATGACTCGGAGAGAGAGTACAATGGACTAACCTCGACATCAGAGAAGGTAGCTTTTAGCTTTGAACCTCTCCCAGTGAAAACCTATCGAGTTTACTGGCTGATCAGTGAATATGACATCTTGAACTGCTCTGCCGTTTATGTAAACTGAGACAATAGATCTCACACGGGAATTACTCCTACCACCATTATGTTCTCACTGGTGTGCCCTGTGTGGCCCTGGACACTAGCCTGGTTCAGCGAGTGGTTTCAAAGAATCTTGGCCTGCCCAATTCTTCTAGAAGCGGCCCCACTTCACACTCACATAGGTGACTCTACTTGAGTATCCTGCTATACTCAGCTCAATAGCTTAACACACTAGAGTCATTAAAAGCTCAGCTTAACCTCTACACTTGCAGGTATCACTGATAGAAGGAATGGCAGGAGGTTTAACCTCCTCAGTGACATACCACCGTTACACGCAATCAGGTTGTCCCATTGAACCTAGATCTTGAGATCTCCAGTCAACTAGGTTGGGTGTGAGTTACCCAGAAATGGCAAGGCCGGCTGATGCAACACCTGTAATTCTTCCAACCCACATCTCCAAAACTTTTCTCTTCGATCCAAACCTTCTTGAATCCAAACTGACTGGCAAGTCAAGACTGTTGATTCTTTGTTCTCCATCTAACCCAACCGGATTTGTTTGCCCGAGGAAACTGCTTGAAGAAATTGCTCAAATTGTGGCGAGGCATCCTCGGCTTCTGGTAATATCACTTGTCATGCAACTTTTGGTGCGTGTACTTGTAGAATTTTCAACTTAGTTAACAATTGAGTTTGGGACTATCTTTGGCTGTTCCTTTCAGGTGCTGTCTGATGAAGTATATGAACACATTATTTATGCACCAGCGACTCATACAAGCTTTGCATCTTTGCCAGGCATGTGGGAGAGGACTTTGACTGTCAATGGGTTTTCTAAGGTGCTCCAACTCTGTTTCTTTTAAGCTTCTTTTCTGTTTTCATGACATGTCTCCATTGTAGATCATTTTGATATGGTCATAAACCTCAAGTGATGAATCTCAGAAAATGTGGATATTTGTAGACCTTTGCAATGACTGGTTGGAGACTTGGATACCTAGCTGGTCCGAAACACTATGTTGCGGCATGTGGAAAGATTCAAAGCCAGGTATGCCATTTCTTGGCCTCTCCACACCCTTCATTTGTATTTGTAAACTCTTGCCTAGTTGTATTCTGTAACCTCCATCAATGTCTGTTAACAACTTAACATATACTTCATTGAGAATCAAGATTCTTGACTATGCTTAAGCTTTTGATGATACATTGGATTGTTTTGTCATGCTTTGTTATGGAGGTTCTGACCTAAAGATATGGAAAGATAAAATAATGCTCCTCTTGTTCTTTCTCACTGATGAATGTCGAGATTTGGAGCAATTGGATAGTTGAAATGGCAGCATATCTTAAGAAAGTTATTCTGACTACGCGATTCGGAATAATTCTATCTGTTGCAGTCATTAGTTGGGCCTTGGTTAATCATGGATCAAAATGATTTGGACGTGATGGGAGGACTCCCCTACATCACAGAAGATGCGGAAGAAATGGTATGTGAAACTCCGGAAACTGCTTGTGAATCCGACGGGTTTCCAAAAGATGTTTCGGTTGCCTCTCTGACTCGTGATGATGAAGCTGTGATGACTTTTGCGGGTGAAGCTTCTGTAAAAGGGGCAGCTAAGAATGCTAGTTAGTCTCTCTTTCAAGTTTAACCTTCTCTTTTGTTTCATTTGTTCTGGACCTTTCTGTTTTCCTTGTTTGCCAGTGGTGTGAACTGCGTCCGTGCCACATCTGCTCCGAGAAAAAGCTGTTTACAACTTTCGAACCGGTTGCAAATGGTTTTTGGCCATTCACAATAGATGGTTGGGACCCACTTTAATCTTTAATTAAAGTCACCAAAAAAAAAACCATTTTTTCCAACAGATCTAATACCTGGATGATGTTGAAGCATGGTATTCCTGTGTATGTCTGGAATTTCAGACTTATGTACAAGAAACCGATATGCACTACTTTTATGTGCATAACCAATGAATATACAATTTACGGATTTCGGGCCTATCCTAACCCGTTTGGGTGTAGGAATTGCCACTTTTGCAAGACACCCCTACATTCGTAAGAATTTATACGAACGCTTAACGCCTTTCCATAACTCATATGGCGTCTTGTCCACCTTCTTCCGGGGTACTTTATTCAGAATGTAATTTGCAGAGAGAATTGCTTCCCCCCACATGTTCTGTGGCAATCCAGAACTTATCAACATTGCATTCATCATTTCCTTTAGCGTCCTATTCTTCAGTTCAGCAACCCCATTTGATTGAGGAGAATAAGGCGCCGTGGTTTGGTGGATAATCCCGGATTGAGCACAAATCTCAATAAAAGGTGATTCATACTCTCCACCACGATCACTTCTCAAAGCCTTAATCTTGCGGCCTACTTGATTCTCAACTTCATTCTTATAAAGAACAAACTTGTCAATCGCCTCATCTTTGCTTTTGAGCAAATAGACATAACAATACTTAGTGCAATCATCAACAAAAGTGATGAAGTACTTATTGCCACCATGTGATTGTATAAATTTTAAGTCACACACATCACTATGCACTAAATCCAACAGTTCTGAACTTTTTTCAATAGAATGAAACGAAAATCTTGTCAACTTCGCTTCAACACAAGTTTCACACTTGTGTTTCGGATTAATCTTCAAAGATGGTATGCGATCTAACTTGATTAATCTACGTAAAGATTCAAAGTTCACATGTCCTAGTC